ACAACCCAATTAAATAACCATGAATTTATCCCCCTTTTTATATCTGAACAAGTTGAAGTACAGTGTTTAAGCAACTTAGTATAAAAAGGCTGAATAGGAAACAATTCTCAGAGAATGTTGTTCAAGGGATAATGCCCAGGGAACAATGAAGAGGATGAGATGAAGAAGGTGCAACTGTGCCAGTGTGCCTTGGGGTGTATTTTACTCATAATCTGTGTGTTTTCCACAGTCCCTGCTTCCCGAGGTTGTGGTATTGGTAGGGGTAACAGGCCAATTGGTGTGGCTTCAGCTTCTGAGGATCTGCCGGGTGCTGAGGTCTCTCAAACTCCTTGCACAATTCCGTCAAATTCGAGTTATTATTTTGGTCCTGGTCAGGGCCCTCAAGGTGATTTGACTGTTGCAAGCTAAAGCAGGGGGCAAGGTAGATAAATATGAGGACTTAACACAGAATATGAAACAAATCGGCCAGGCACGGTGGCTCATGCCTGTAATCCCACCATTTTGGGAGGCCGAGGGGGACAGATCATGAGGTCAGGAGTTCAAGACCAGCCTGACCAAAGTGGTGAAACCTGGTCTCTACTAAAAATACAAAAAAAAAAAAAATTGGCCAGGTGTGGTGCTGTGTGCCTGTAATCCCAGCTACTCAGGAGGCTGAGGCAGGAGAATTGCTTGACCCTGGGAGGCAGAGGTTGCAGTGAGTGGAGACTGCACCACTGCACTCTAGCCTAGGCGACAGAGTGAGACTCCGTCTAAAAAAAAAAAAGAATATGAAACAAATCTTGGTAGGTCAAAGAAGGCAATGAAACATCCTGTGATATGTTACCGGATGAGAAGGGGCTGGGGACAGGTGCCATGGTTCAGAGATGACTGGGTTCAGGAGTGCAAGGGAGGGTTTGGTAGGGGATTGCCAGGTGGCCTTGACTGGGCTGTTGGTGGAGATTAGCCTAGTTTGGCCCACGTCTGACTTGAGGTTATGGCCTCTAGAGCATGACCTTCCTCTTGATGTTGCTGCTTATCTTCGTCTACATTTTTGTTGTGACTGATGTCTACCTCTTCCCAGAGTATACCCCTTCACCTCGTCAGGACCTGGAGTACCATGTGTTCTTCTTGTAAGCAGAGCTGGCGAACAGCTGGGTGAGGGGAAAAAATTTGGCTAAGAGACCAGTAAGCTTGTCCAAAGTATAGTAATATAAAAAGTACAGTCTATTCCAAGAAACTGAAATAGAACACAATAGGGAGAGGGAAAGAGAAAGCACAAGAATAGTGAGTGGTTTTAGTTCTGATCTTGAGAGTAGGGCAGCTAGTTCCATGTTTATTCTGGGTTTTGCAAATTCAAACCACACTGTCATCAGGCATCTTTTTTGTTTTTGTTTTGTTTTGTTTTGTTTTTGAGACGGAGTCTCGCTCTGTTGCCCCAGGCTGGAGTGCAGTGGCCGGATCTCGGCTCACTGCAAGCTCTGCCTCCCGGGTTCACGCTATTCTCCTGCCTCAGCCTCCCGAGTAGCTGGGACTACAGGCACCCACCACCTCGCCCCACTAGGGTTTTTTTTGTATTTTTTAGTAGAGACGGGGTTTCACCGTGTTAGCCAGGATGGTCTTGATCTCCTGACCTCGTGATCCGCTCGTCTCGGCCTCCCAAAGTGCTGGGATTACAGGCTTGAGCCACCGCGCCCAGCCAGGCATCTTTAAATAGCAGTACACTCCAGTGGTTAAGCTTGGTTTCTGTGACTCAGTTACCTCTTTTGAAAAATGGGGGCCAGGCACGGTGTCTCACGCCTGTAATCCCAGCACTTTGAGAAGCCAAGGCGGGTGGATCACCTGAGGTCAGGAGCTCAAGATCAGCCTGACCAACATGGTGAAACCCTGTCTCTACTAAAAATACAAAAATTAGCCAGGCGTGGTGGTGGGCACCTGTAATCTCAGCTATTCGGGAGGCTGAGACAGGAGAATTGCTTGAATATGGGAGGCGGAGGTTGCATTGAGCCGAGATTGAGCCAATGCACTCCATCCTGGGCTACAAAGAGTGAAATTCTGTTTCAAAAAAAAAAAGGCGGTGGGGGAGAATAATAGCAGTGCTATTTCATAAGAGTGTGGGGATAAATGTGGTAATGCATTTAAGCGCTTAGCACAGTATGTAACACATTATAAGTGATCAATGAATGTTACTGTGATTCCCAAATATGATCGCTGGTTTTATCCCAATCTCTACATATTACACGTGCACGTGCCTATTGCTGGTCTCTGTCTAGAAAACACTAATCAATGCTCACTTTGGCAGTGCATGTACTAAAATTGGAACGATATAGAGAATATTAGCATGGCCCTTGTGCAAGGATGACACACAAATTTATGAAATGTTACATATTTTTTAAATATTAGCAAAACCCGACTAATCTGTTTTCTAGAAGAAAATCAACTTGAATTTAGAGTACATAATCCTGTTTATGAATTAGAATTCAATCTTGTCAACTCTCAGGATTCTGTTAGACTCTAACAGATAGTTTTGTAAGAGTATTGAGTTAGGAAAATCCTAGAATTTATCCTATACAAGCTCTGATGTTTTCAATAAATTGTGTATGGGGGACTAGAAGGAAAGGAAGTAAAATTTAGGTACCTTCCCGGAAACGTTTTACTTTTTTAGCAATTTTTAACTATTATTAATTTTATAATCTGTATATTTCATTATTTAGGATCACATATATTTATGTAACATGCCCATTTACCTGCATATCATTTCATACCAGGAAACTAATAGGAATAATTTTGTGAATTATCTTCTATTTTGCTAAATTTGCTAATTTTGCTAAATTTTGCTAAATTTGCGAGTGATCTTCTATTAAGTGGAGTCCATAGAGCAGTGGAGAATAAAATTAGAAAAAACGGCCAGGCATGGTGGCTCACACCTGTAATCCCAGCACTTTGGGAGGCCGAGGCAGGCAGACAGATCACTTGAGGTCAGGAGTTCAAGACCAGCCTGGCCAACGTGGTGAAACCCTGTCTCTACTAAAAATACGAAAATTAGCTGGGCATGGTGGCGCATGCCTGTAATCCTGACTACTTGGGAGGCTGAGGCGAGAGAATCACTTGAGCCTGGGGGTCAGAGGTTGAAGTGACCATCCAGACCACTCTAGCCTGGATGATAAAGTAAGACTCTGTCTAAAAAAAAAAAAAAAAAAAATAGAAAAAACTATCTAGTTGGTGATTTATTCATCTTTGAAAATTCAGTCAATACCTATTTATTGAGTATTTGTTATACCCCAGGACTAATGGAATAGTGAGAGGTAGTCATAGATTATTCATGACAAAGGAGAATTTAGGCTGGGTGTGGTGGCTCACGCCTATAATCCTAGCATTTTGGGAGGCTGAGACTGGCAGATCACCTTAGGTCAGGAGTTCAAGACCAGCCTGGCCAACATAACAAAACTCTATCTCTACTAAAACTATACAAATTAGCTGGGCATGGTGGTGCTTGCCTGTAATTCCAGCTACTTGGGGGACTGAGACAGGAGAATTTCTTGAACCCAGCAAGTAGAGGTTGCAGTGAGCCGCATGAGATCGCCACTGCACTCCAGCCTGGAAACAACGCAGCGAGACCGTCTCAAATAAATAAATAGGCTGGGCGCCGGTGGTCAAGCCTGTAATCCAACACATTTGGGAGGGCGTGTGCGGTGCGGTGCACGCAGAGATCGAGACCTCCTGGCTAACATGTGAAACCCATCTTTCTAAAATTACAGAAAAACTAGCCGGGTGAGGTGGTGGGGCACCTGTAGTTCCCAGCTACTCGGGAGGCTGAAGGCAGAAATGGCGTGACCCGGGAGGTGGAGCTTGCAGCAAGCTGAGATCTGGCACGCACTCCAGCCTTGCGCGACAGAGCGAGATCTATCCAAAAATAAATAAATAATAAATACATAAAAATTAAATAAATAAACAAACTTCAAACCAAAGAGGATTAGTAAAACTGAATATGGTACAAAGGAACAAAATCCAGGAATAAACTGAAAGAGAATCATTATGTTTCTTTAAAAGTAAGAATGGTACCATTTTGAAAGGTTTCAGGTCTCTGTTTCTGTCTATTTCACATGCCTTTTTCTTTAGGGACCTCTCCGGAATTCCCTGGTAACAGTGGTTCATGTCTCTTCACTTGGGATCAATTGGTATCGCCTGCTTCAAGGACGTCTGGAAGGTGCGTGAAGTCAGTCGCCCCTTCAGCAGGCGATCGTATTTCATCTTTGGCTTTGTGCTGCTGGCTCCAGTCGTATCTTCGAGTATCCAATAGTAGGCCACCGAGGGGTGAAGCAATAGAGGCAGTAAAACTTGTGTGGGGAACCGGGTGGTTGGGAAGCAAATTACCTCACCT